TGTATTACCTCTCTGAAACTCCTATCAGACAAATGTCAGAGTCTCTCACTCTAGCCCACATTCCTCTTAATTTCCTTCTCATATTCTCTAACTCCATAGTTCTCTGCGCTTTGCTCTGAACATTTCTCCCCACTCCTGTTTAATGGATGCTTCTTATATTTTTGTTTCTTTAAACATTGAATGAGGTGAGTTCTTCCTGAATCAGCTGTTTGCAAGAGACTTGCAAGAGGGTGGAGGCAGTACCATATTTAAGGCCATTTTCTTTATGAAATAGTATTTGCATGAGTTCTTATAGCCCTTGCTGTTTCCCATGATTAGCATTTCAGGGTTGCTTACAATGCAGAGTCTATGTCCTTCACTATTCCTCACCAACAGACTTCTTTCTACAAATATAGCTGTTTGTCCCTTTTCAACTTCACCTTCCCTATATCTCAAGTCTTTGTGTCAAATGGGTGTAAAAAAAGCCCCTACTTCAGTCTGCTTGCCTGTTCTTATTGTTCAGTACAATAAGGACTTGTGGGTCTTGGGTCACTTTCTTTGGAGAGCTATGTCACTCTCACTTTGTATAAAATCTGCACCCTTAGGCATCCATTATCACATTCCTGTTTGACTTTCACTATATTGGGCAGTTCTTACTCATAGGTTGTAGTCCAGGCTTACAGGTGTACATCACAAATAAAGTTTGTCTATTTTTCATTCTCCTTGTAGTTTTGAGTTAAAGAAGGATGAATTTCTGAGAAGAGGGGAAAAAATCACTTTTTATTCTGCCACTTGAAAACCAAAGCTTCAAGTGTTTTTCACAATTTATCCAACCTTTTTATGTATTTAGAGAAGGGTTGTGGGGAGGGAAGGTGGAGGATATATCAATGTCCTCCATATACCATCTTAACCAGATTGAGTAAATGAACTTTCAGCAATAATCAATATGGATGCCTCTCTTCAAAGATTGCAAGTTGAATTTCCTTCCAGCCACAGGAATGGGGACTCAAAGTCAATATAAACAGTGTTATAGAAAAGGCTATGCACTATTCTTTGCACAACTGAGATTCACCCCCAATACCTACTCGATATATTAATCACAGTTGCTGTTGTTCCCATAGTCCATGCTAAAGGTCAAGCCTGCACATAGCTTGTGGCCTCCAATCCTTCTCCTGGGCCACAGGTGATTAAAATACAGGTGGGCTTCTGACTGATTCCATGGGCTGTTCGACAACTCAATGAAAAAAGATGATCTGGGCAAACCAGAACCTCTTGCAAATTTAGCTCTGGAAACAAAAGAGAGAATCAGAAAATTGACAGTCAAAGCAAAAGCTTAAAGATTTCTATGAGGTAGAGTTTGGGACAGAAAGGTCATGGCATGGAGAATCATAAGGAAACAGAATCTAAGAGATGAATTTTAAACAGGAGGCCAAAAAATGCAGAGATGTAGGGTGGAAAGAGTCAATTAGTTGGTAGAGACAAGAATTACACATAGAAACAAATGTGGAGAGTGGCTCTGTTATGTTAACCACAGCACTGTCCTTTGGCTTTTCCTGGATTCCTGTACCTAACACAACACCTTGCCATAGTAGGGCCTCAACAAATCTGTTTAGAGGGATGGATGTTTATCCTCAGGATAAGTGAGGTTATCTCTTTGCTTAAGGTAACCTGTCTGAATCTCTGCTCTTGTTACAGACCCTCTACCTCAGCACTCTATAGAAACTGTTTTCTTTTTTTTTTTTTTTTTTTTTTT